TAGTACTTTCATAAATTTGCACTATGCCGTATTCAAGTATCAGAAACTTAGGTCTATTGTGCTTTCTACAGGTGTTTGATAAGCTGTGGGAGGGTTGAGAAGATGATCCAAAAGTCTACAATCCCCAATTTATAAGGGATAAACTCAGCCGCTTGAACCCAATGTTTGAAAAAGGCTGGCATGAAGATGCGTTCGAGTCCTTCACATTTTTCTTCGGTCAACTAAGCGAGGATTGCATGGTCGAAATGCCCAGACCGGATGTTGGTTTAGTACTAGATTAGATTTTGTTCGTTGTTCCATCTGTATCCTGCTGATGAGTCGCTATAATGATAAAACACTGCCGTATATGGTTGGTTGGAGCGAGAAAAGCAGTGTTCACGATTAGGCCGCGATTAAATTCCTAGGTGTAAGACGTCAGATGTATACTTTTCACGGTGTCTGGTGTCAGTGTTACCAGTCCTAGTCTACCGATTTTAATGCGAAATCAAATCTACCGAAAAACCTCTTAAATGCTGGAATAGCATATTTCTGATATAATTCTACTATAAACTTGAGAAAAAGAGCCAAGAGCTGTCTGCCATCCTCAGCCTTTCACTATTGATGATGATGAAGGGGGCTCTCTTCCATTTTCAAAAACACGTGGAGCTCAAGCAAGGCGCCATCTTTCTCCGGCAAGATTTTGTTGTTCACCGAAAAAATTCCTCGTTTCAACTAATATTGGAAATAACCTGAAATCTGAATTGAAAAAAAAAATAGGTGGGGGGGGGGTTGTAGACAGGGTGGGGGAGGGTATATATCACTTTTTTGATGTTAGTACAAATATATTTATGAGGGCGGTTCAATAAGTACCCGTGTTATAAATGAACACAATTTTTTTCTAGTATTTTTTATTTTTATTTTTATAGTCCCCTTTTAGAAAGATACACTTTTCGAAATGTCCCTGCCATTATTCAACTCCTCCAAAAAATAGGATTTGTCGAACGCGAGCCATTTCTACGCGTTAGGGAACAAGAAAAAAGCCGCAGGGGGCCAGATGGGGTGAATACGGGGATTGCAACAGCTCTTCATAACGCAATTCATGCATTTTGGCGACGACAACTCGGATGAATGACCTGTTGCGTTATCGTAGAGAATCAGCACCTTATTTTTCGCTAAATGCGGCCGTTTTTCGTCGAAGCGATCCAATAACTTACTGTAGTATTGTCCAGTGATCGTTCTTCCTTATACAAAAAAAATACATGAGGATGACGCCGTTTGCATCCCAAAAAATCCTTGCCATGACCTTTCCGGCCGTTGGGACCGTCTTCGCCGTCTTTGGAGCAGATTCACCGGGAGAAATCCATTGTTTTGATTGTTGCTTAGCTTCTGGTGTGTAATGACGAATCCAGGTTTCATGAACGGTGACAACTCGACGCAAAAACTCCTTCGGTTTTCGCTTAAATTGCTCCAAACACTGCTTCGAAGGTAACACCCGCATCCGTTGTTGTCCACCGTGAGCAAACGCGGCTGACAATTTTTTCATCTCCAACTTATATTTATTGCCGTTCCAGTCGACACACCTGCGGCATCTGCTACTTCGGACCTTTTCGTTCGTCGATTAGATCATGTCGAGGACATTTTGAGTGATTTCCTCGGTAAGCACGTATGCCGTGCGTCCTGGTCGCTCCTCATCAAAAACGGATGTTCGCCCATGTTCAAATTCGTTGAACCAATATCTAACTGTGGTCATAGATGGCAAAGTGTCCCCATAACCAGCATCCTACTTTGATTTTATCTCATTTTTTCCCATCCAACAACTGTAAGCCTTCCTTTCCGCAAAAAGTCCAGAAAAGATGGAATGCAATGAAGATTCCAACTTTTCTGCACAATCACAGAAAGGGGGTTACCATTAGTTTCCGGTAGCTCAGTCGGTGGCATGAAGACATCTACAGGCGTGTAGCTGTGTGTCGACCATGGCATGGCTAGAGGATAGAAGAACAAACAGAACACAAAAATTTAACAGATTTTATTTAACAAAAAAGCATTTTCATTACATTACAATTTTAAAGAACAAAATAAGTTTTAAATCTTTGGCGCTGCTATAAAACTATACACTTATCTTTCGCTGGTCCATTTTGACTGGACTGAAGCGAGGATGGCCAGGTGCTTGAAGTGGAGGCCCCAGTTATGAGGGGTGACCACACATTTAGTGGCTTCAAAACCAGTTGTAGGCGAAGTTGAACTTAAAGGTGATGGCGCTGCCAAGGCACATGCATGGGTGAAGTGATAGGCCAAGCACTGCAAAGCCAAAGACTACATGAGTTGCAAAGGCAAAAGTCAAAGACAAAGGCAAAGGGAAAGGGAAAGGGGGTGGCCCCAATCTGGAAAAGAACCGTGTGCATTAGCAACGTGCCCTAATGGCCAAGGCATTTCCAATCTCAGTCTGCCTCAAAAGAGAACCAACGATTTTCTAGGTTAGAATTACATTACATAGTTTGATAGAATCAAACCGAAAATTGGAAATACCTTTCATAAAATAAAATCATGAAATAGCAAAAAAAAGCGTAAAACAAGATGGTGGTCATCAAAAATTTCTCCACATGCTTCTGATATAAAAACACAAATATCGAATATTCATAATCAACGTACTCATAATTTCACTGAACTATGATGAATACATATACGCAAACAGAGGTAAAATCGATGTGGATCGATTTCTACCTCGATTTGATTAAAGTTATGGCGAATGATCGAAGTAGTCGAAAATGACGTTCGATGGATATTTTAAAATCGTACAAGAAATAAACCACTTACATATCGACTATCTATAAACTACAGGCAGACCCAGCAATAAAACTGTATAGTATTATAAAACTCACCATTTTGTCCTATTCGGACACACATTCTACAAAATTCTAGCACATGGTGCTATATGACCTCATGCTACAGAGAACAAAATTCTTAGCTCTTGCTAGATCGGCGGCTCAAGTCATAAAGAAGCGCGAGGAAGATCGCAGATCAGGAACTCCGCATCAAGCGCGCTCCAAGTGGGAATGTTTCCAAGTAAAAAAGCTAGAGATGGGATTAATGAAATGATAATCGAGAAGTGATTTAATAAATACGATCGGACGGTGAAACCGTTACACTCGCCCCTACTTAACCAGAAAAAAATTCGAAGAAGCATTCAAGTATTTTTTTTTAACAAGGAAATTGAAACTTATCACGGAAGGACAAATGTACAACCATTCGACCAGATAACAAGTAGCAAAAGTAAGGTAGAAACAGAAATGTTAGAAGAGAATTGGAAGAAAAAGGGATAGCCT